CCCCCCCGACAGACAGACAGACAAAAGAGTACAAATGGTTGGGGTCTAAAGAGGAGATAATATAGAAATAAACAAAAAGTATAATTACAGGTAATCCTCGACTTACATCTACTCATTTAGTGACCGTTTGAAGTTACAACAGCACAAAAAAACCCTGTTTTTCACACTTATGATCCTTGCAGCATACCCATGGTCACATAATCAAAATTTGAATGTTTGGCAATTGGTTCATATTTATAATTATTATGGTGTCCCAGGGTCATATTATCTTTTGCAACCTTCTGACAAGCAAAGTTAATTGAGAAACCATCACTTAAGAACTGTGTTACTTATTTAACAACTCGAGTAATTCACTTAATGGTGGCAAGAATTATCATAAAATGGGGCAAATTCTCTTAACTGTCTTGATTAGCCACAGAAATTTTGGGCTCAATTGTGGTTGTAAGTTGAAAACTACCTGTGTGGTGCTTTGTTATTTTCTCTCTGTACTCTGTTCCAATAAAAGAGTTTAAAAGAGATATCATTTACTAATATTTTCAGCAGCTCCCTCGGATTTTTTACTTAATATATTTTAAATTCAGAAAATAGGAGTCATTGTTAACATTTTTATGAAATTGGCTTCCCCCACCCCCCCTTATTTTCTTTAATTCTAAGGTGCATAATTTGATGATTCAACTAATTGGAGTGTTAGATAAACCTTGTCTATATATCTGATATTTCTAGAGTGACCAACCTAAATTATTAAAATTTCTTTCAAGGAAATGATTTTATAGTGGGTTCTTTCATATACAAAGTCCAACTTTTATAAGAACAGAAATGTTTTTCTATACATTCTATAATGATTTTATTTCTGATTTTTTAGATGCATTTGGCAGCGAAGATGAGTTGTGCATCTATTTCAGAAATCCTTATATGAAAAGATACAAGTTTTAGAAAGTGTCGGCATTACTACTTGGAGAGTATGGCAGGTTTTAAACGAGGATATGATGGAAAAATTGCTGGATTGTATGATTTGGATAAAACCCTAGGCAGAGGGCATTTTGCTGTGGTGAAACTTGCCCGACATGTATTTACAGGTGAAAAAGTGGCAGTAAAAGTAATTGACAAGACCAAGTTAGATACTCTTGCCACAGGACATCTTTTCCAAGAAGTCAGATGTATGAAACTAGTTCAACATCCTAATATTGTTCGTCTATATGAAGTTATTGACACTCAGACCAAACTTTATCTGATCTTAGAACTTGGTGATGGAGGAGATATGTTTGATTACATCATGAAACATGAAGAAGGTCTTAATGAAGATCTGGCAAAAAAATATTTTGCTCAGATTGTTCATGCTATATCCTATTGCCATAAACTGCATGTCGTTCACAGAGACTTAAAACCAGAAAATGTTGTATTTTTTGAAAAACAAGGACTTGTGAAATTAACTGATTTTGGATTTAGCAACAAATTTCAACCTGGGAAAAAACTTACAACAAGTTGTGGCTCTCTTGCATATTCTGCTCCTGAAATTTTACTTGGCGATGAATATGATGCTCCTGCAGTAGGTAAGTTAATGAACTAGTAAATAAAACCTTAATTGCTATATTTTTGTTTTCAAATGAACTATTCTTGAAAAATTATTCAGTGTTTCCCAATTTATGTCATCCAATAACTGCAGTTTCCAGAATTCATAGCAAATAGACTAAAAATAGAATTTTGAAAGTTGCAATTCTAAGACATCTTGAGGATACCTTGTTAAAAAAAGGTGGATTTAAATATTAGAAATGTGCATTTTAAAATGCCTTTACATTCTTTCATTGTATTAATCTAGTGGTAGAGGCAAGCAATCAGGTATCCTCCAGATATTTTGGAACTCTGAATTCACTTAAGCTTCAACTAGTTGGCAAATTTAAACAACTGCAGTCTATATGTATTATTTCGATGACTCCTAAAGTTAACTACAGGTAGTCCTCGACTTATGATCACAATTGAGCCCCAAATGTATGTTGTTAAGTGTGACATTTACTAAGAGAGTTTTGCTTCATTTTACAACCTTTCTAGCCACAATTGTTAAAGTGAATCACTGCAGTTATTAAGTTAGTAACAAGGTTGTTAAATGAATCTGTTTTCCCCATTGATTTTGCTTGTTAGAAGCTGTTCAGATGACCCCAGAATATTGCAACCATTATAAATATGAACCAGTTGCCAAGCATCTGAATTTTGATTATGTGACCATGGGGATGCTACAATAGTTGTAAGTGTGAAAAATAGTCATAAGTCATTTTTCAGTGCTGTTGTAACTTTGAACGGTCACTAAAACTGTTGTAAGTCGAGGACTACTTGTAATACCAGTTTAAAAGTTGACATGGAACATTCTATGATTATATTATTTTGAATATAGTGTACTATTTACAATGGGTGCTAGATAATATCCACTTCATACATAATATAGTACAAGTGCTTACACTGAATTCAATAATTGTTTGAATTGTATTGACAGTACAGAAAACTCAATTTATCTAACAGCATCTTAACTCTTATGAACAAATAACTATGTTTGCATTCACAATACCGTTGTCCAAATACTTGCATTAGGAGGACAATATAAATTATTCTTGTTACTGACTTCTCTTATAGTTGCATTTATGTGGAAGTAGCCTCTTGTTTTCAGCAAAATATATTCTTCAGATGTTTATATAGTGTATCCTTTCATTGTGGCTCTTGCCATTGTGATTGATTATTGTAGAGTTTTCAAACTCTGCCCCCCCCCCCATTACAACTTTGAACAAGAGGAACTAAGGTGAAAAAGGGGGGATGTCTACAGCAAGCTTTCCAAGGTTAAATGGAAAAGCAAGGGCTTGTTCTCATGGAAAAACATGTCTGCAATTTTATGGATCAGGGTTTGTTTGTTTTAAACAAATTTAATTTTAAAATCCCAGGCTAGTGTTTTATTACACACACACACCATCCCATTTCTATTTGATAATAAGAAATATCTTAATCCACATGCTATTGAGATAATTCATCTTAAAATAGTTGGTTCCAGCTCTTGTCTCCTTTCCCCAGGATTTAGTTTAAGAGTTGCAATGCAACTTTTTCATTATCAACCCTTGAATCTGTCCATTGTAATTGATTCATGAAATTATAACTTCATTCAGGGCTTCTAGATAGAATCATTTTTCAAATAACAAAACTCATAATCAGTTAGGACCATCTTCCAAATTTATATCAAAGACCTATGAGGTTCACAATTGCTCAAATTAATATTGTATCGATCTGCTTTCCTGAACATGAAAAAAGAATGAATGTAATATTTTTTTCACTGACTAGCTAAAAAGGTTACTTGTTATAATTGGACTATGATGACAAATATTTTCTCTCTAAATGTAAAAATCTATTGTGTGTTTTCCTCTCAACTACATTTAAATGTTGCCTTGGATTTCTTGAATTTCTGTAGTTTTTCTAATGTTACTAATTTCCTTTATTGTACGTGTAGTATTATCAGTGGAACAACATCAGGGTTAATTCTTACAAACCAAGTACTGTAAACAGGAAATCCTTTACTAAAGTAGTAAATCCCCTACAGAGAAAGGGAAATGGGCAGGAAAGAGTGAGTACATAGAATATATAATCAAAGTAGATAGAGAAGAAATAGTAGCTGGGAAAATGTTACATGAAAGTTTAATAATAATTGTGAAATTGATTTACAATTAAAAGTATTTTGCTTTCATGTGGCCATTGTGTGAGAAATATTTTGGTTGCATATGTGACTTCAAAATTTTCCTATTATAAGTAGAAAGCTAACTGGGGTCTAAAGGGTAACATAAAAAAGATAAAGGTTTTCTGAAAATGCTCTGACATTTAGCCTTGCCCTGACATTTAGCCTGAGACTAATATAGTCAAAAGTTAATATAGTGAATAAAACAATAAATATGGAGGTGAAGAAATTGGTATGTTCTTGAGATGTTTTGACCATGGCTATTAAGATACCCACATAGTTTCATATAGCTATCTTAATCTATCCATTTCATTTGGTCTGCTTTTTGACTGCATAACAATACAGCAGTTAAGAAAAATGATAGTCAACCATGAAACATGATAATCAACCATAACTAAAATGTTAGAATACATTAAAATCAAATAAAAGAAATGGGCAAAATTTATTTGAATTTGACAAAAATAAGAGGTTAAGAATATTTAATGCAATCATTTATCTGTTTAGCAGTTACTTCAGTTAAGCTGGCCAGCCTCCATAATCAAATCATGTCCAAATCTATTAAATATTATATGAATCAGGCCAAAGTAGTCCCTCTTTGAAGAATGGTTCCAAAACTGAATTGAAGAAGCAGCTTCTTGGATGAGGGAATGTTTTCAAAACGAAAAAAGGAGAAAGTCCAGTTGCCTTTTGGAAGAAAAACATCTTTGGGATAACTATGACCTTGGATGATTGAGAATCTCCATGGACACAAGAGTTCACAATTTTTTTCATGATCAGAAACAGAAATAAGGCAATGTAAAAAGAATGTTAAAAATCTATATTTTTGTTAGAACGTGGACAGATAATACTAATTACATGATTTTTTAATTAGCTGCAGTGTTGGGTTTCAAATTTTTTAGAACTTATTCTGTAGGTGTGGCTTGTTTTGTGGGAGTGGTTCGGTGGTCATATGATTAGGTGGGCATGGCCAATTGGAAAATGTGAAATTCACTTAACAACACTCTTGTTTAGCAATCAAAATTTGGGCTCAATTGTGGTCATAAGTCAAGGACTATCTCTGTCTTCCTCTTGTCCTAGTAAACTTCTTCTCCATTCTGGCAATTTTCCTTTCTGTTAGAGGTACCAAAATAATCCAGATGATATAAGGTTTCCTGCTGGAGCAGGGGGTTGGACTAGATCAGTGGTTCCCAAACTTGGCAACTTTAAGACTTGTGGACTTCAACTCCCAGAATTCTCCAGCCAGCTTTGGCTAGAGAAGTAGCTAGCAGAGCTG